TGGATGATTCTTATCATAGTTACATTCATCAATGGCAAGTGCTCTCTCCAAGTGAACTTTGGCGTTCTCATACTCACCAAGATCCTTTAAAACTAGTCCAAGGTTACTGAGTTTTGTTGAAATCATTGGATGATTCTTATCATAGTTACATTCATCAATGGCAAGTGCTCTCTCCAAGTGAACTTTGGCGTTCTCATACTCACCAAGATCACGCAAAACTAGTCCAAGGTTACTGAGTTTTGTTGAAATCATTGGATGATTCTTATCATAGTTACATTCATCAATGGCAAGTGCTCTCTCCAAGTGAACTTTGGCGTTCTCATACTCACCAAGATCACGCAAAACTAGTCCAAAGTCGTTCAGCCAATTTGCGAAATGAGTGCTTTTTTTGCCATGAATGCTCTTTGTTTGTTCTAATGTCACCTGTAATAGAATTTTGGCTGAGTTAAATTTGCAATGTTTTGAACAGGCTTCTGCCAAAACATTGATAGCATTGCGATTATATTCGAATTGAAATCCATTTAAGCTTTTTATCGCTACATTAGAAAGATAAGGAATAAGAAAAACAAAGTGAACAACTAGTGGCCTTGTTGCCGCAATGAAATCAGAACTCTCATTGTCTATGTCTTTCAGATATGAGAACACATCAATTACATTTAACCAAAAATCAGTGCTTGTTTTCTGTTCACTGTTCATTTGAATAGCTGTGTGCACAACTTGATGCATGCGTATMGAAGTGACAAYGTTGTCTTCTGTCAATGACAGAACCAACGAGGAGCCTGTTATATCTGTTATAAGATCGTGTTCGCTTTCATTTGGTAGACAGCGATGAACAAAATCAACAACCACTTTTAAAGGTACATAATCAGGAGCCATTACTGATAGGAACTGGAAAGCATGCATCATTGTCGGGTTCTCCTTCTCTTTCTCTACAGCCATACGGACAGCAGTCGTCATGGTTTTAGTGTAAGTCATACTTGTGTCTTTGTAGTTTCTCTCCGTTACTTCAATCTGATATCTGATGCTTCGAAGACATTTCTTCCAATCCATTGAAGGGTCTGTACGTGATGCACAATGCATAAACACTGCTGCACAAGCAAGCGCCAATGGCTGATAATCTAGCTCAGTAGCCACTGTAAGTGTTTCTTTGCTTTTACCAGCTTTGGAAATGGAAACTAGCATTTGTACTGCGTCATCTGGCTCCATTCCTTTACTGAGAGAAAAATGGTGCGTATCTTGAGACGCCAGAATTGAACGATCATCTTGAGTTGTGATGAGGATGTGACCGATTCCATTTGGTTGTCCAGCCTTAACTATAAATTTTGATATTGATTTCAAATCATGGACGTCATCAATAATCAAAAGCCACGTTGAGAAATTGTCTATTTTAGGAGCAGCAAGTCCTTGAAGTTGAAATAGGCGTTGTTCAGGTGAAAGTTCTTTTGACGTGATAATGGCTGTTATTGCTTTCTCGTCACATGAAAGTTTTCTCGTGAGATCAGAATATGATTGAATCAAAGATTGCAAGCTGGACCCGTCCAGCGTCATCACGAATCTTGGAGCAACATCTTTATCAATATCAAAGTAGAGATGTCGTCCTATTTGTCTTGCAAGCACGCTTTTTCCCGAACCAGGATTCCCTGACAGATAGGTCATCGTTATATCTCCAGGATTTGAACTTCTAAGGCGTTCTATTTCTTGGCAGATGTTTGATACTTCCCGGTCGCGCTGAAAAGTGTCATGCGATGGTTTTGAAGGCAACACACAAAAACAAGATGGCCCCTCATTCTTCTTTTTCTCTTCCTCCCACTTTTGTTGAACATCGTTAAGCTCAGCTGTGTTGAAACTAGTTTCATCTCGAATTTCCTCAAGTGCACTAGTGTCAAGCTTTAAATCCTTGAAGGCATTAATGACGTCATGCATAGATGTTTTGTAGCTTGATTCGATAATTCGTCCTTCCTTAGCGTGACCAAATGCTGCATTACGATATTTTCTTAGACTGTCCACACTTTTCTGTACTGTAGGGTCGAGGGCATTCATTCCGATGCAATTTGAATACAATATCGAATAGAAAAGACAGGTGCAGTCCCATTCGGCTGTATTGCCATTTTTGATAATGCTGAGTTCCTTCTTTTTGACATTTTTCTCTCTTGATGTTGTCATGTTAAAAAAGTTCTTGCCATTTTGTACAGTATTATGCCAAGGACCGAGACTGGAGATTGATCCATAGCGACCGTCCCATTCTTGCTTGAAGACCTTGCGAAGGCCTTCGGGTATTAAGTCTGTAGTCACGTGACACACACGGAAAAAGTTCAACTGGTCTTGTGAGTACTGCTTTGAAAGTGACATCTGTTAAATAAAATAATCGTTGTATGATCGAATGTTTCAAGTGAATTATTTGTTGTGACGCCCGTCATTAAATGCTAAAACAATTTGCAATTTTATTACTTTTACTAGCTAACACAAGTCAGTGGTTGTTAGTAGTTCGAACTAGAATGGTGGATAATAATAACAAATGTCCTACACTGAACAGCTATTTACTCTTGCAGCAATATCGATCACCCAAAAATAGTGAGCAAATACAGCAATATGCAGTACCGTATGTAGGTATTTTTTTCAGAAAGTACGAGAAGCTAGGCAACTTAAAAAAAATTTGTCGATGATATTCCATGATTTCTAATATATGTTAATTTATATAAACTTGAAATATGAGCAAAAAAGATCATAAATTCTGCAAATTGTTGTATAAGAATTTTTTTTTTTTCGGTCCGGCATCCTAGTCATTCGCGCGCGGTCTTATTTTTCACGATCTGCCCGGTCCACGGTATCTGCAGCTAGGCTGCGAGCAAAGTTGCATAAAATACAAATGAAAAAATAAAAATAAAAATGTTATTTACCGGCTATAGGTCAGTCCGTATAGGAAAACACTGCCCTTGGATTTTATGTACGGACCTCGCTGCGCTCGTTCCATACTGTCAATACCTCGGGCAGTGTTTTCCTATACGGACTGGCCGGTAAATAACATATTTATCATTAATCGACATTCATAACGCGATTGGAATGTTGGTACTATGAGTAGATGCTAGCACGCAAGTGACACGTAAGCTACCAATAGAGAGGTTAAGCATGACGTTCACGGCAAACGGCAGAAAAGATCACGTGAACTGCTTTTTTGGGGGTTTACGTTGCAGTTTCAACGCGAGAGTGGGTTATTTTGGGGTTGCCATAATCGTGAAAGTCGCTCTTTCAAATGACTACCAAAAGCACCAGGTCAGTACAGGCACGAAATTCTTAGGTCGTTGGTTCAGCTCTGCCGTTAGCCGTTTGAGGTATAGTGATGCTTCAACTCTCTAATATTGCAATCTATAAACGGGACGGTCTCACACTTCTAACCGTCGTGAAAGTTGAGAAATGTGCGCCGAATTTCCCTTTTGTTTCCAACGCGTTCCAATGTAGTTGAGGTGAAGAATGTGTTCTTTTCGTATTGCCCGTCGAATAAGTCACAACATCATATCGAGGTAACAAAAAAATTGTGTAAGGTTTTCTATTCAGTTCTGAAATGGGAAGAATAAATTTCCCACCATTTTTCGAATCGGTCTATAAGTATTTTTTTAAATTAGAATTTTATAAAATATGATATAAACTGATTTCAGAAAAAAATGACACTCTTGAAATATTATATACATATATATGTTGCAGCAGTTTTTCCTTGAAAATCACCTTTCTAAAATATGAACAAACATGATTTCACCAAATTGGCCCCAATTTACCATAAACATCAACAAATCATATCTAAAGGGTGACATTATTTTATGAAATCAGTGTGCTGAGGTGTTTACTATACCTTAAAATAACTTCCTGACTGGAAAATGAAGCAGTGAATTTGAAGGAAACTGGTTGCACAACATTGATAGAAATGATATCAAACTACCATTTCCAGTAAAAACTGTTAAATCCTGATAACTTGAATAAACTTTCTTGCTGAAATAGAGAGAAAGCAATTTACAGCTGCAATCAATATGCAATATGGAGTGACACCATTTTGTGCAACAAAGCATGACAGGATTGCTAGTTGTTGTCCTTGCATTTATTTAATCCACTACAACAGTCCTCATAAACAGTTTTTACTTTATTGTAAAAATAGAAGCATGGTTATGCTGTTTCTGCAAATGAAACAAAAAATTGCTTTCAGGGAGATTTTCTAGGGTCTATAAAAAGTGCCATCAAGCTTTGTAGTACAAAATGTTATTCTTGCACTTTGTCTATTGGCTGGCTAACCGCTGAATGACTTCACATTAAGAACATTCAACAAAAAGTACCACGTCACCAAATGGAAAAAATGCAAACTAAAAATGCTACCACTCATATCGCTGATAGTAGTCTTCTTCACAGTTCCCTATCCCATCTTGAAAGGTAGCCGTACCTTTGCATCCAATCGAGACAACCCTTGAGCATGCAATAGTCTCCTTCACGGTTACCTGCGCCATCTTGAAAGGTAGCCGTGCCTTTGCATCGAAGCGAGACAACCGTTGAGTGTGCAATGATAGAAACCTTCTTTCACAGCTACAAACAATTATTCACAGGTTTCTATCATTGCACGCTCAACGGTTGTCTCGCTTCGATACAAAGGCACGGCTACCTTTCAAGATGGCGCAGGTAACCGTGAAGGAGACTATTAATAGAAACCTTCTTTCACACCTACAGACAATTATTCACAGGTATCTATCATTGCAAGCTCAAAGGTCATCTTGCTTCGATGTAAAGGCTTTCAAGATGGCACACAGGGAACCGTGAAGAATGATTATTGAATTTGAAAACTTGACACTAAAGGTTAAATTACAATTATTCAGGCCTCTGTTTTTAGAATATTTTTTTTCAAATAGATTATATAATTTTCATCATATATTTCAAACTTTTACAAGTGGGGCCATTTTACTCAAGCTATACAAGATGCACTGGAGCTACATCGGTCAACAGCACCATTTCTGCTGCTTGTTCTTGGTGGATATGCTTTCATTAATTTATGTTCAGAAAATGTTTAATTTATTCTTCAACAAACTAGATGATCATGCATTGATCACACACCTGGTCTTCAAGAGGCAAAAAATAAGTTGCTTTTACAAATAAAATCGATTATACCTCCCACTTTTTTTTGGAAAACTAGACACTCTAGAGTGCTAAGTTGGGCTATACTAGATCAAAGGGTTATTTAGAATTCCTATTGCTGAATAATTCCTATTGCATTTTGGTATCGTCCAGATGTAATGCTACAATATGTGGTATGGCAGTATTTACCCAGTCAGTGAAGTTCTCTGATCACATTACAAGTTTGAAAATTCTAAAAATTCTACTTCCTTCAGAGTTTTGTTGCTCTTCAGTCAATTGCTTGATAGCTTGTAATTTTGAGAGCCAGAGATTGCTAAATCATGCTGCAGAGGCATCCTCTCTGCTCCTCTCTTCTTTCTAGCTCGAGTTCCTTCTCTGATGCAATTTTAAAAGTCCCTCATTCCTGGCTTCTTATCGCTCCGTTGCAACATTATCAAGTCCTTCTTGATAAAGCTCGTTAATCTTCAAGGTTGTCGAAATTATTAGTTTTAACCACAAGGCTGAATTACTTAGAAGGGCAAAAAACCATTAACCGAATATTGATTCAGCATCGCTATGGAAACAGAGACTGCAGACTGTAGAAATCAGGTGCGCTACCACTTTGAAGTATAGAATTCACACCACAAAAAACAAGTGGTTTTCCCTTCACAGGAAGCCCATATAATAATTGATTCTAGGTTCAAGGCTGGTACAGTCAACTCTTGCTATACACCCTTGGGACTGTAACTGTCCACAGTAGCGAGAGTCCATAGTAAGGAGAGTTACTTTCAGTCATTTCTTTGTATTTTTCACCAGGGATTCAGTATTTTACTGTCCACAATATCAAGGTGTCCGTTGTAGCAGGGTGAAGTAAATCGAGAGATCAAATATGTGAAGTACATGCTATTCAAGTGAAATAACTGGAGTACATCTGCTTAAAATATGATTAAAGTCATCCAAGACAGATGACTGACAGTGGAGAAGATAATTATTTCATTATTATTGCGGCAGAAATTGTTATATTACATGTACTTAATTATGGGTTTCCTGTGCCCTCATTAATAAAACCACGTGCTGGAATATGGCGTCTGACTGCTTGCAACCCACATAACATGGTGTCAGAACTTCGACTTAAACTCACGCGTTAAAGACGAAACCTCGGCAAAAAAAAGCACCAAAATGGCAAAATCATCGATTCCAGTACCTGCTAAGATGGATATGGAAGGAGATCTCGCTTCGAATTGGGATTTTTTCAAGGAAAGTTGGAAAAACTACGCAACGGCAAACGAGCTAAAGAAAAAACCCGACGAAGTTGTCGCCGCTACTCTACTCTCGATAATTGGAAAAGATTGTTTTAAAGTCTTCAAAAACCTGCCAATGTCAGATGATGAAAGACAAAAGCCGGATACAATACTAGAGAAGCTAACTGAGGAGTTTGAAGGTAAAAGAAACTTAATTTACGAACGGTATGTGTTCAATACATGTACACAAAAACCTGACGAGAGATTTGATCGCTACCTGAGTCGACTGAGAGAAAAGATATCGACCTGCAAATATGCCACTCTAGAAAACGAGATGTTGAGAGATAGAATAGTGATTGGAATTCACAACAGCGAAACACAACAGAGACTGCTAAGAGAAAAGGATCTCACCTTGGATAGAGCAATCGACATTTGTCGAAGCAGCGAAACAGCAACACAACATTCACAGAGAATGGAGCCGACACAACCTGTCAACTTTGTACAAAAGAAGAAGAGCGACACAAAGTATATCAAGAATTGCAAGTACTGTGGAAGTGACCACAAGAAAGGCAAATGCAGTGCATATGGAGAAACCTGTAGTAAATGTAAAAAGAAAAACCATCTTGCCAAAGTGTGCTTATCATCAGCAAATTCAAATGATTCATCACCACGACAACAAAAAGCAAAAGGTGAAACAAAGGATAAATCAAAGAGGAAAAATACAAAGAAGATACATCATCTGGAAGACAGTGATACCACTACCACTGAAGATAGTGAAGAGTTAGACAGTGATGAAAGCATATACAGTATACAAAACAAGAATGGAAAAAAGGAATTCTGTGCCAAAGTCATTGTGAAAGCTGACATCAGCAAGAATAAGTCACAACAAATCTTATTTCAGCTGGATACAGGAGCTTCATGCAGTACAATCAGCTTGAAAGATTACAATAAGATAACGACAAAGACACTAGAGCCCTCACACACTACTCTCAAGATGTATGATCAGTCAACATTAAAGCCAATAGGACAAACAAAGCTATACTGTACAGTCAAGGGTATTACCAAAAAGGTACAATTTCAAGTCGTCAAGGATGCACCTATTTCCCTTCTCTCTGGTAAAGCCTGTCAAGCCCTACAACTTTTGAACTTCAGCGAGGACATTTTACAGATTAACGAATCCTTGACTAAAGAGCAAGTCCTTAC